AAGAGGGATCCGCCGTCGTCTTCTGGTAGAACCGACCTTAGAATCTATTTCCATTCACTCGAAATGGAAGTAAGCTCAACAGATGTAATGCAAATGCTGCGGATGGCATGTTTTAGGACTGCCTATTTTACTGAAAACCCCAAATAACTTTTACTATTGATAATGCTTTCTTAATTTTGATAAATTTATATCTCAATAAAATACTCTTATATCAAGGAATTTAAGAGATCCATACAATGTGTACGGAGTAAATCTTGTGGTTAAGCATGCAACTTACCTAGCAAACTAACTAACTGAAAGACAAGCATTCGGAGAAAAGTGTAAGCTCCATTTAATTCGGGCAGGATATTTAGTGTCGGTAGAAGTAGTGTCCTCCTCGAACGACGCTTTACATTGTCGTCTTGTCTACCGTAGGATGGGGAATAGTATAAAGACTTAGGCTTAAGTATTTTGATTTAAAGTTATAGGGTTATGCAATTTAAGCCATAATTCTAGATATTAGAATAGTGTATAAACCATACTTAACAATATTTTAGGTCGCTTTAGCCGAAGGTTAATTTTCTCAAACGTGGACGTAAGTACTTTTCGTATAAATAAAATTGATCTTATAAATGTTTAATTTAAATCTACTAATACGATTTTTTACTATAAAAATACATTTTAGGTCTTTCTATTTTGTTTATTTAAGCGTCTTGTAGGTCTTCTACCATATCTCTTCTTACGTAGACATGTCCGCCAGCTCTTTACATAATGACAGGACCACCGAGCAATTTCGAAAGCTATTTATCGGTGGCTTAAATCCTCAAACAACTGAATCGAAGTTGAGAGAATACTATGGACAATGGGGAGAGGTTGTCGATGCTGTCGTGATGAAAGATAAACGCTCTAGTCGGTCTAAGGGCTTCGGCTTTATTACTTACAAAGAGCCAGAGATGGTGGATGCTGCGCAGTCTTGCCGGCCTCATTCTATTGAGGGGAAGACTGTTGAATCAAAGAGAGCTATGCCCCGTGAGGACTCACAAAACCCGGAGGCTCATATGACCGTATCTAAGCTATTCGTTGGCGGCCTCAAAAAGGAGGTCACCAGTGAGGATCTCAATGACTGCTTCATCAAATACGGCAGCATGCGGGAGTGTGAAGTTGTAAAGTTCAAAGAGTCTGGTGAAAGTCGAGGATTCGGATTTGTTACCTTCGATGACTATGACTCGGTCGATAAAGCAATATTGTACAAGCCTCATTTCATAGGCGCTAGCAGAGTCGACGTGAAGAAGGCACTTAGCAAGGAGCAGATGAATCAAATGAGAAGAAAACAGGAAGCCAGATATGATGGCTATGGTGGTGGCTACAATAATGATTACAATGGTGGTTACAATAGTGGCTACAATGCCACGGCTGGTCTTCCGCAAATGGGGGGTGGGTACACTGGCTACGGTAACAATTGGGG